TATACCGGGAGATATTGGCACTCGTTAGCGCACGTTTATCGATTGCTAACGGAACTCACTCATCCCAAGAATGAACCCCAAGGTAGAGAGGAAAGAATGAGTTTCGATAGCGAGCGGTTAGCATTCATCAAAGAGTATTAAGACTCCCGAGTTGAACCGGCGAAACGATGAGCTCGTAGCTCAATGATTAGAGCATTAGACTTCTGATCAAAAGGTCGTGGGTTCGAGCTTCGGGTGGTGCACCACCCGTGGTTGGGTATGGCTGCCTGATGACGGCTGATAGGCTTTAAATGGCCATTTCGGTCTCCGTTGTGTTTACTGGTAACGCTGTTTTTAAGACCGCTGTTCGTCAGAACACGACTTTAAAGGTCTAATAGGGCACAACGAGTAGCGCTTTTTCTCGAATTCGTATATACGCATACATGGTTTAAGTTCCAATTTTGCGTGCATTTAAATAATGCTTGCATGAATATAATACAAAATAAAGATCACAATCAATATCGTTTACTCAGTCTCCCTTGTCTTTTTCGGCCATATTCATCTGCACCTTCTACTACTCCCCCGTACGCGTCAGATAAGTAAACAAAAACAAAGCGAGAAAGGAAGCCGTACTCTGTTCTTTTAATATGAGCAAACGGCACTCAATATATCCCCCAAGCTCGACCCTCAGGACTTCAGCTCGTATATCACTGCATTGAGATCAAAAGCATTGTTTTCCGGGACTGGATGTGACCGACTGACGATAGTAAATGTTCCCGTCTCTTACAGGGTCACATTAGTCCACTGTGTATTTGTTGGTACTATGTGTCAGGTGGACTTAAAAAATCACGGATTCATACCACTCACCAGACTAAGCTGCGCACAGGCCTCACGAGTCTCGTCGAGGGCCGAAGAGAGGGTCATCTGGTTGTCTAGTAGACTGGAAATCATTGTCCGAAGGTAGGCCACATGTTCCGCGTTGGCCGCGTCCACCTGGGCAGCAAAGGGATCAGTGATGCGCGCCGTCTGGATGACTTCCACCGAGCCGTCAGCACTCATACTCAAAGACTTTGGTCTGGTGACGATTTCCAGGGCAGGTTTGGGCACAGCGGCGGTGGGGATGGTGATGGTCGATGCTGGCCGCTCATCCGAGACCGACGTCATACTTGAATTGGACCGGGCTAGTTTTCTCTCTCTGTGAGGGGGTGAGGAAATAACGGTAATTAGATTCCCAGCGGAAGGGAGGGGTGAGATGAGTAACGCCTACGTTCAGCGTCAGTCCGTTTAACTGCGAAAATG